TTATTGCATTGTCATTGTGTTATTTGAAAGCTGTTGTATTTGAATGTGTATAAAAATAACATTTTAATTCAGTAGCTAAGATGAATCAGTTATTTAATCCAAAAGAGAAAGTTGAATTCATTTTTCTTCATGTTAATGGCTTATGTATACGCAATGCGTGCACTGAATTCCACACAAGACATCCTGATAAGCCTTTTCAAAATCTGGAGTTTTCAAGAACTAACTTAGTAAAACTGAAAACAACCGGTAAGATCTGTAAAAGGCTGAAAATTATCGCAACTGAATTAAAACGTTACTTTTATATACATTCAAATACAACAGCTTTCAAATAACACAATGACAATATAATAATGATAGTTTCCATGGAGACTATACAAGGAGCCCGAACTCCATGTAAACAAGAATCTTACAAAAATAAGAGGGCGCTAGTGTTCCATATGTCCCATATGTAGAGAGGGGAGATAAAAAGCGGCAGTTTGAATTATAAATCAATCATGTAATTTTTGTAATGTGTTAAAAATTTTAAAATAAATAATGTAAGCTACTTTGAATTATATAAATCATGAAAATATGTCATTCCGGACTGTAATTAAACTAAATAGGTAATAAAAAATATTAGCTTTATGAGAAGAATTTGGTGTTCGTATAGAAAGAAACTAGTTTTCAAGGAATTTATGACGTGATCTTGTTAATATTAACCTATAAGTAAGGTTTATGTTTTTGATAATTACTTTGTTAAAGATTTTAGTTTAATGTTAGTAAAAAATAGTCACATTTTATACAGGAAGTTGCCTTTAAAAAAATAGTAATTCTTGTATTATTAATATGGAATTTTTACTTGTGGTAATAAAAAATAGAATATAAAAAAACTCGGTGTTTTAAATAAACTTTTTAAAATATTACAGATGTCCGATTTTGAGTCCAGTGATTCAGATGACTTATTAGACGCATTGGTAAATTTTGCATTGCCTTAAGCTCTACAACAACCAGAAAAGTTACATACTTGCTAAGTAACTTGTCCACAAATTATAGATTGGCCGAGATAATGAGGCAGTTGTAATCGAACAATATTTTGCCCACTATGAATTTCCAGAGGTTATAGGAATGATGGGAAAGGAATTCATATAAGATAGAGTATATCACAATCCATATTTTTTTGAATAACCAATAATATACTATATTATAGTGTAACTGAAAACTGACTATGGAAAGTCGATAAATTATGGTTGGACAATTTCTAAGCTGATTGCCATGTTGTCGGTTTAGACTTCTCAATGCTTCGAGAGTCATATCGCTCTCTTCTCAAAATGTCAAGAAGCTTAAAACAACATGACAACCAATTGATACCAAAATTTTAACAAAATATAGGTACTCCATTATAAAGGTCACAAAAAATAGATAATCTAAATATTTTATAACTCTTTAAAATCGATTAGTTTTCTGGGTATATATTTTAAAATTGCTGTAAAATTTAATTCTACTTTCGTAAAATTGTTGATTTAATTCGAACGTAACATGGTTCCATGACTTATTCCAAGTAGAGTATAGACTAAAATTAATAAGGTATTATAAAGAAATATTTTAGCAATGTTCTATATTTTTGTTATATATTTTGTAAAAATAAAATGTTTATCTACCAAAGATTTCAATGTTTTATTAATTGAATCAAAAAAACGAAATTATTTGTGTCTAATTAAAATAAAATAAATATTCATAACAAACAAGTAACAAAGTAAATATATATTACAAATAAAACAACTTAAACATAAGTAATACGTGTCAGTCTATCTTCTTAAAATTTCATTTTGTTCATGAAGCAATTGATTTCCATGTTTAAATATTTAGTAAAAGTAGTCAATTACCAATACAGATCGATCAGCATCAATTACTACACGTATCCTCTCTTTAAATTTTATATGATATCTGAATTTCAATCAGTTTTTTACTAACAGGAGGAAAGAAACAGCAACTAATTGGAAATAATTTATTCAATTTTGTTGCTATTGTCAATATTATGTGAACATATTCATAGTTGCTTTGTCGAGACCTCATCACACGTCAACAGAACTTTTCTTTTATTAGATTTTACAGACAGGATGCTCACTTTCTAGTATAATCTCATCGTAATTTAATTGCTCTTGATTTACTTGCTGTTCTTGTTGTTGTTGTTGTTGTAACTGTTGCTCTTGTTGTAGCTGCTGCACCTGTTGTTGCTGGTGTAGCGGATGCTCTTGCTGTTGATGCTGCTGCAAAATATATAAAGAAACAATGCACCATTCAATTATACAATATTTTCACTTATGAAATCTTTCTATTTAAAAATTTCTCAACCATATTAAGAATCAAAGAAGCTGCTTCCATCTTCCGAATTATTCGACCTTTTGCCATAATATTAACCCAGTATTCGGTCAAGTTGTAATATAGAACTGCTGGACATCATTAGATTGAAAATGCAGATCACAAACGTACTGTTTTATTTTAAATCTGTTGACAGTCATTCACTTCACATACTATTACCATATTTAAATTATTTTCGAAACTTTTTATTTACCATTTATAAAAACAAATTGTAATAATTATTGACTTGACTTCTAGTTTTTAGATTAGTATACCTCCCCGCTCCCCAATATATCTACTAAACTCAGTATAAATAAAATAAAATTAGTTATTTGCTTACTTCACTCGTATTTATGAAGCTACATTCATTTGGGTCATATGGAACACTAGCGCCACCCCAACTTCTGCCATTTCTTGGACAAATTTTGTCAATTTTCCCGTATGAGTTCGTGCTCCTTATCTAGTCTCCATGATAGTTTCTTTCAAACAACATAAGTTTTGTTTAATATCCAAGGCCTACTATTGCTGTTTTAGCTTCTTTTAGTTTCTGCCGACTGCAGATTATCTTCGTTGTTTTTGCTGATTATTCGAAAACGATTATTCCAATAAGGAAATGTGACATAACACTTTTTTATTTAAAATTTGAAGGTTTGTCAAATTATGTTAAAAAAATACGGTGTTGCTATTAAAAAAATATCGTTTTTGTAGCTACTGCAGAAATCAGGCAACACCGGAAAGAATTATTCGTAAATTTTTCTTAATCAAGTTATTTCCTACAACTTTGTATTTGGAAGTACTAGTCTATCACTTCAAATAAGAAAGTTGGCCTATGTCAGGTTTTAAAAAAATAGCACTGTACAAAAAACTAAGTAAATATTTGAGTTTCTCATCGTCAATAATCCCAGTTTCCCGAATTTCGTCAAATTGCCATGTTATTGAACAAAAATATAATCAAAATACCAAAAAAAAAATGGATGGAATTTTTGGATGCTCTGTATCTCAAGAATCAAGCCGTTGCGAACCCATGTTCATATGAACTTTTTGTCTTAAAATTAGTCAAAGATTCACCCTTTAAAGTTTGTACAAGTACTTAATAAAGACCTTGTATATCAGATGCATCAGATGATTTTTAAGTCTTTTTTTTTCTTTTTCCAAAAGAAAATTCTTATTAGTATTTCTGTAACACCTTAAACAAATTAACTTTTATACATGTCTGTAAACATATAAATTACGAATAAAAATATTTATTTGAAAAACAGCTACCTAATTATAGAGATCAAGTTTCTGCAGTACCCAATCGAATGGGTTTCAATAAATATTCGCTAGATCCTAGCCCCATTCCAATTTATCCTCACTTAAACATTTAGCTCTCGAGAAATAGACTGGAAAATAGAAACTGATTGATTAAAATCGATAATAAGATTTATATGCTTAATTTTTACTTAACTGCTTTTAAAACCGATCCATTAATTTGAATTTAATATGGCAAGTGGTAGTTTCTTCAATGATTTTTAATTTGGAAAAAGTATCCCAGAAAAACATTGTTTTAAAATAAGTAGCGAGGGGGCACGTTTTAAATAAATTGGACTGAGTTTAAAATATGTTTTACATACGAGAAGTATCCACAAAGTAATAGTACTCAATTTTTTAAAAATCGAAACGGCAGTGTATTTATGAAAAATATACATATTCATGAAGGTATATCAAACACTTTTTTTCGACATAGTCCCCTTCAACCTCAATACACTTTGTGAGCTGAGGGATGAGCTTCTGATACCTTCGTCCTTCGGTAAAAAAATATCCCGCCACCTTTCCATCCTCATCGTCGACCAGAAACACCTTCAGAGAAGATAAAAGATGAAAATCAGGTGCTATGAGCACTGGTTGATCATGTTCCAACCGAATGAAGAGTTGCTGTGTAGCGTTGGCTGTCTGGGGACGTGCATTGTCATGCAACAAGTACACTCCCTTCGTTAACATTCCCCTTTTTTGTTCTGTATCGCTCTCCGTAGTGTTGTCAGGGTGTCACAGTACCTCGCGGCATTAATTGTTTCCCTCTGGGACAACAAGTCAATGAGAAGAATCCCTTTACCGCCCCAAAACACAGCGATTCTGTCAGCTTTGTGTTGATTTGTGACCTGTTTTGATTCCCACCTCACACACGATTTTCGATTACTAAGTGTTTCAGTAATGATTTCATGGAGAAGAGACAAGGAGATTTGTGGAAACACTGCATCTCGTCCAAAGTCAATCGACGGTCGCCACGAAGCATTTCTTCGATTTTGTTCACCATCTCATCAGTCACGATTGAAGGACGCCCACTCCTTTGTTCATCATGAAGGTTTGTTCTGCCAGCTTTATACTCACGACAACACTTGTACACATTAGTACGATTCATCACACCATCCCTTAAACAGTTTTAATTTCGTTAAACACCTCGCGGGATTCGCAATAGAGGCACTCATTTTTTCAACACGCCATTACAACAGTTCTCAACTGACTGAGACAAATGAGCGCGCGTTTTGTTCGAACACCTTGGCCTTGAATGCAGTGTTACCAACTTTGTCGAAAAGAAAAACCAGCATCAGAGTCTCAGTACTCTTATTTTGTGGATATGCCTCGAATAAAAAAGACCATAAATAATAACATAATTTATTTTTCAGATATAACTGAATATGGCCAACGATAGACCCTTTGGGTACCGCATGCAGTTATACTCTGAAACAGGATATAATTTGACAGTTAGAAATACAGGCGAAATATTAGGAACTCAAGACGATGGAGATGTAGACAGTAGGTATTTAAAGTGAAATGAATAAAATACAAGTGTGTATACACTTTTTCACAAGTTTTCTACTACCAAAAAAGACTCGGGGTGTACGAAAATAAACAGGCTATATCTCATTGGTTGAAAATATGTAAATCGACTTTAGGTCAAGTTACCTTAGTACAATGTAGCTTCTTTAAAAGGCTATCTGACTTTTAAGGAAGCAACAGGAATTTACTAGAATATAGTTCTGTAAATTTAACTTTGCGATACTACATTCAAAGGTCTATGTATATCCGTAGACACCGACTTTTTAATAGAGGTGGGTTGATACCAAAAACTCGGGTGTTGGTAACTGTCGAGACTGACTGACTACTAAAGTTGGTACTAACTGATGAAATTTTGATTTTAAATATAATAACGGAAATATTTCAGACTGATTTTTTTCGTTTTTCTTGCTGTAATAAAACTTGTGATTAGATGAAGTTTTTTTTCTTTAGGTCACATAGAATTATGTGGTGGAGGAGATGTCAGTCACATAAGACTTCTTGGATTGAACAGTAATCTCTATATCTGTTTTAGAAGCAATGGTGAATTGTATGGAGAAGTAAGTTATTACGTTATTTCATTAAATTCAATATTAATTATGAAACATTTATATAAGAAAACTATTTAAGGTTTAATTATAATGCAACGACCATACTATAATTTCTATTTTCAACCATTCGAGTAGAATTTATTACTTGTAAAGATGACTTTGAAAAAATATTTGATATATATTTCATTTTTTTTTATTGATTTCTACATTATAGAAATTAGTTAACTATTAACGTCCAAAAATATAGGATTACTGTCTAATTTTGGTTCACATAGAAGTGAACCATGAAATATGATAATGAAATTACAAAAGAAAACGTGAAAAGTCAATAAAATGTATTTTTCGGGGTCTGGCAATGACCACAGACTTTTGCTTACACCATTCGAAAGAACGGAAAAAAATAAGTTGATTTAAAAAAAAAGCATCACCGTAGCTGCTTTCTAAGTGCCACAATCCATTTGTTAAGAAAGAATTTTGCGAAGCCGAGCGCAGCATGGGCACTATAACGTCACAGGGCTCCTCTCTCCTGGCAGCCGCGCGGATCACGGTGTCTTTAATGAACGTTACTTTTTGGTCGAATCCATTAAAAAAAAATCCGCGTATAAAGAAAGTCTTCTACTTTACAACGAGACTAAGTTTATTACAAAATATTAAATAGAACAGCCAAAATACCGTTTAAAAATAATTATCTCGGCTCCTGTTTTCGGATCGAGACGTTTTTTTTTTTAGTTCATGTTTTTTTAAGCACTATTTTATGTACCTAATTGGTTTGAAATCTGTATATTAAAAAATGGCCGAGATAAGGACCCTAGTTACCGTTTTTTTTTGGTTTTTTGTTAGTATCTTATTTATTTTGCAACTTAAAAATCTGAAATTTACATAGACGACCTTTCGATACTTTTTTACCAATTTCGATATCTTGACTTGGGCAGAAGATATACGCGTACGCGTTTTCGACTTTATAATTTAATTAATTATTAATTTAATTTTGCAATAGGCCGCCATTTTCAAATCCCAATAGTTATCTTTTCTTGTAGTTACATCTAATTTCAGTCAAATTTGTTCTTTTTATTCTGAAAATTTTGCACATTTTTTTCACCGCTAATTTTCTAATGTAAAAAGAAAAATTTGTGAGCTTTTCTAAAAACCTATCCTTGTAGCAAATTTCCTCAGGAACAAAATCGATATACCTCATGTCCATCAGAGGCTTAATTTCGGAGATATAAGCGAAAAACTGAAAAAAGAGCAATTATTTTTTTTTCTTCTATAAATGACGCTCGACCTCCACAAATACACAAATTTAGGATTTTATTCTGTGTATTTTTCACTTAATTTTAAACCCATAAAGTTCGACTTAGACCTGATTTTTGAAGCAGGCTTGTGGTTGGTATAATTCGTCCGGATTATTATTGTTTTGGAAACTCAAGTGTGTGACCCAACTAGTGCTAGATTTGCGGTGGGATTAACAATGACGGGTGTGTGGTGCCTCATAAGAATCTTTCTCTTTCTACCTTTTAAGGCGATAATGAATAGAATTTGATACAACTTGAATTCGATTTTCCTCGGTGATTCCAAGTGTTCCATCACCCAGTTCAGCCTTTGTGTGCAGGTTCAACGGCAACTATAGTCCAGACGGTATCTGTTTCAAAGAGTCCATATTTGGGTGAATCGTATATCCACGGAGATTTTTGGCTTTTTGGCTTTCAAATATCACTAGAAATGAGAATTTTTCTATGCGCATAAAAAAAAACGTGGGCTTTTGGCGGCACAATATGTTAAAAAATTCGGAAAATGTCATATTTTTCTTCCTATTTAAATATGTATCTTTTCAAGAGTTGATTTTAGGCGAAAATGGAAGAGGAAAAAAATGTCTGTAATTAAATTTTACAAAATATGACTAGTTACAAATCGCATGAATCATGATTATTATTGTAAAAATCGAAAAAATCGCTAAAAATGGGGTTAAAAAACATTACTTTTTATGGATTTTTTTTGGGGTCTTTAAGTTGGGTACAGGACCTTCATACTTGGCTCAAGAAAACTTCATGTTATGTAGAATCATCAACCAAATTTCATCAAAATCGGTTCGATAGATTTTGTATAATAATTTTGCAATCCAGATTAAAAAAAAATGTCCAAAATTTTGCACAGCAAAAACCAAGGCCCTTAGATACTTGAAAATTTAATTACATATAGAAGGGCTCTCAAGCTCTCAAACGCTTTTTGAAAAATTCGAATCCGTCGTTTAAACATTGGTCGAATTTTTGTACTATAATTTTGTATTTTTGTAATATAATGAGTTAATTTCTCATTTGCTTATATTTTAAACAGTAAATAATATTTGAATTATACTTTAATCACAAAAGAAATGATGATTAAATTAATAATTAATTAATTAATTACTTATTTTCGACATATGTTGAAAATAATTGTTGTTAACAATTTTAGAATATTTAAATAAATTTTGATCCTTGATAAACAGTATATAAGTTTATGCACTTACCTTTGATTCAATAAAAAAATAAAGTAAATAATTAAAGGAAGTTTAAAGTTAAATAATTCTCGGACTGTTGAAAGACCTAATTATTAATGAAAGGCATTTGAAAATATGCTAATTGTTTTTTTTTAAATCGCCAGACATCGATTTAAAAAAAATCATCAAAATCGGACCTCTAGAAGCTGAGAGAACTTTAAACGCGTTTTAAAGTAGGTTGCCAATGAAGAAAAGTATTGCAAACTTAGACCTGGTAACAACTCGGAATACCAAAGGTATTTTTCGAAAAATTAGCCCGGATGTCCCAGTACATTTAGTGTAAATGACGGTTAACTTTGATCGGCTATAACTACGTAACTAATTGACCAACCGATCTGTTTTTTTTTTAAAGAAGCGTCTTTCCAATAACTTTTAAAACCAGCTTTAAAAAATTTGATTTGATTGAATATTCAGTTATTTTAATTTTTTATAAGTACAAAAATTCGACAAACAAGCGCCAGAGCTCTCCTAATTGACGGATTCGGATTTTTCAAAAAGCGTTTGAAAGCTTGAGAGCCCTTCTATATGTGATTAAATTTTCAAGTATCCAAGGGCCTTGGTTTTTGCTGTGCAAAATTTTGAAAATTCGCAATTTTTTTTTAAATCTGGATTGCAGAATTATTATGCAAAATCTATCTAACCGATTTTGATGAAATTTGGTGTGATGATTCTACATAACATGAAGTTTTCTTGAGCCAAGTATGAAGGTCCTGTACCCAACTTAAAGACCCCAAAAAAGTAAAAAAATAATGTTTGGCGATTTTTTCGATTTTTACAATAATAATCATGATTCATTCGATTTGTAACTAGTCATATTTTGTAAAATTTAATTACAAACATTTTTTTCCTTTTCCATTTTCGCCTAAAATCAACTCTTGAAAAGATACATAATTAAATAGGAAGAAAAATATGACATATTACGATTTGTTTTTAACATATTGCGCCGCCAAAAGTTAAGCTCACGTTTTTTTTTATACGCATAGAAACATTTTCATTCCTAGTGATATTTGAAAGCCAAAAAGCCAAAAATCTCCGTGGATATACGTTTCACCCAATCCAAAACAGATACCGTCTTAGTAAGACTAATATAGGATCGGACTGATCTTGTATCAACCAGTGTAGAGTAAGTTCTGTTGTATATGGTTACTTCTTCATGGAGCCGATTATATCCTCTCAAACGGAATCAGTGGAATTAACGAGATGAGTTTCTGGATGGTTGTCTTGATTAGAAGCCTCTACAAGCGAGAATTGGCTTCGTCCTGGTCCAGTTCCTCGGGACTTTTCCTGGTGTGCAGTACATCGCCAATGTTTCCATTGAACTCCCTGTCGTCCGCATCGTGAATAGAACAGTCTTGTATGTCCCGACATCTGCAGCATGTGTATAAGATTGTTTACTTCTCTTGGAGTGCAAACTTCGGTCGGAGGCGGTCGGTCGCTTATGTCACGTCCTGGTACTTCACGAAGACGAGGTACAGCAGGAGCTGTCATTTCGGATGTTCCAATTGGCTCAACCTACTCTTCGATTTGTCGAACTTATTCATATCTTGTATTTTCTCAAATTCATAGGCTTGTTGTAATAACTCGGTTACACTGGTATCTCTACGGATGTATTGTCGGTATTCTGGCCTTAGCCGTCGACAAATGCAAGTAAGTTCTCTTTCTCTAGACTCTAGACAAACCCCCATGTAGGTTGTTGTATCATGCTCTGCATGTCCAAGATGAAAATCTTTTGCATTAGTCTGATGGGGCTGGTATATTTTACTGATTCGGGCTTCAGAAGATCACAGGAGTCCACTGGAGTCATCCGATTTCCAAAATAAGCGTTAGTTTTGAAAGAAATGCTTACACAGTAGTTTCGTGCTCGGTGAGTCCCAAGACTCCCGGAAATCAATATTCTTTCTTCAAATCAAGTCCCTGTTGCTCGAGCGCCATTAAATATGTGACGACCTTTCTACGTGTGAACCGGATGTCACACAAAAAGTCGCCGTTCGGGTAACAGTGGTGGAGAAAAGTATAAATCAGGGATCTTGAAATGAAATCCACTTTATACAATATACAGTAATAATACAATACATCAGTTTGTAGTACACGTGTACGTACTACAAACAGAATAATTAATCGAACATAATAAAACTCGTCTTCCAAAAGTGATTTATTCCTTTTCAGAGAGTAGTGGTACCTACCTATTTAAAATGCTAGAACTTCTGAAAAAAGCCTCATTCGTCCGTAGCACTTGCTAAAATTGGAATCGGGTGCACTTTCATTTTGATATCAATTATAAAATTCATACGCAGGACAGCTGTTTCGGTCAACGTTCTAAAGGTCTCTAGTCCGCCGGCGTGTTCGCTGTCATAAAATGTGTTGAGAATAAGGTGCCAAATTAACGGGAGATAAGGGGTAATTTGGTTATTTTTTAAAAGGTCGAGTAAAATATATTTTTTTAGATTTTCTGTCTATGGTTAAAATTAATGATATGACTGAATCACCCTGTATACAATATATTTTATTTATTAAGATTCAGAAATAAACAAGGCTACTTCTTTATTTCTGTCAGTTTAGCGGACGAATATATGAATTTAAATTTTTTAGTCCTTAAATGAAAAAATAAGAGTCCCACATTTTTTAAACCATTTTCATTTTGTAATGTGTTTAAAAATACGGAAAATACCCCATTAAAATTTAAAAGTAGATGTAAATCTTGATTGATCTATATTGACCTATACAGGCTGTTTCAGAAAGACCTCCCGTAAAAATAAAAAAAAAATAAATAAATAAATTAAAAATAAGAATTTTTTGTCGTATGAACTATATCTTCTCTATCTATCTATCTCCTCTTGTTTTCGAGATACAGAGCGACAAAATAAAATTTTTTAAATAGAATTTTTACGAAATCCAAACGGTGCGAAATATTTTTATGAAATTTGATATTCCGGGGCTTTTAAGGACGCCAAATACGCTAGTCTAATTATTTTTTGGATATTGCATAGAGGGCGTTAGTTATGCTAGATTCCTATTACATTTTAAGTTCAAATTTTTTTTAAGGTTAGGTTTTTTACCATTCGGGTTCCAATTTCTAATGTACAATTTTATTTTCTGAAAATTTTTTTATTATGATTTATGATTTACTGTGATTTTTTATTTTCTGTTAGAACTTCCTAATATGGACAGTTTTCGAGAAAAAAGGCTTTTAATTAAACTCTTAAAATATTACGTTGTATAAAATAATTGACTTTTCTCAAAGTAGGCTTATGTAATTAGTCATTACTATTACAGTCACTAAAAATTACTAGAATTTTAATAATAAATTGATATAAAGTTAACTAGTGTTTAAAATATTAAGTACTAAGAATGTATGCATTGATTAAGAGACATCCATCAATAAGTTTTGACATGAGCCTACTTTGAGAAAAGTCACTTATTTTATACACCGTAATATTGTAAGAGTTTAATTAGGAAGTTTTAACAAGAGTACATTATTTTTAGAAAATAAAATTGTACATTAGAAATTGGAGCCCGAATGGTAAAAAATCTTACCTTAAAAAAATTAGAACTTAAAATGTAATAGGAATAGACCAGCGTATTTGGTGGCCTTAAAAACCCCATAATACCAAATTTCATAAAAATATTTCGCACCGTTTGGAAATTTTCGTAAAAATTCTATTTAAAAAATTTTATTTTGTCGCTCTGTATCTCGAAAACAAGAGATGGACATATAGTTCATAAGACAAAAAATTCTTATTTTCTGTCGTACTATCACCCCCTGTATTGACGGGAGGTCTTTCTGAAACATCCTTGTGTTTTATAAAATACACACGATTAGATTAAATATTGAAATTTAAGATTGTGAACTCTAATAACAAATTTTTGCAGAGCGATCCCTCAAATCGAGGTACAATTTTCATCGAGGAATTCCAAGGATCTTACTCGGCCTACAAATCTGCTCTTTATCCAGAATGGTACATTGGAATAAAGAACAATGGCTCACCCAAGAAGGGTTTTAGAACGAAATATGGACAGAAGGCTATAAAATATTTACCAAGGAGACTCTAATATTTAGAATAGATATTAATAATAACGCCTACAGTATTATTTATTAATTTATTTTTATTTAAAGATATATTCTTATCTTATATGTTTGTAGTAACAATGTTGCAGTATGAAAACCTGTTTCTATCTTTTTATAAAAACTATTTCAAGTTTAATTTCTTTATCAGATTTGGTGAAACATGCGTTAATAAATCTACAGTCTGTTTAGAAAACATTAAATGATTTCCCTTTGAAATTTAATTCTTAAGAACATTATAGCGGTTTGAGTTTCAGAAAAACGTCTTTTTATTTCAAGATAATGTTATAATAAAAGTTTAGAAACATTAATTGCCAACAATAATTACAAAAAATGGTCAAATTGAAAATCATTTATTGATTGTTAGTACACTAAACGGTGAACAAATTCATGAAGATCAAAATATTCCCAATGAGGAATTATTGTTCCAGGGTGGCTAATTTATTACTTATATCTAATGTCTTTCCTAACTGATGGAGTTGTTTGATTTTTTCTTCTGAAAATGGAATCCCTACTTTACTTTAGAAAAGAAAAAAGTCTAAAGAGATTTTTACCTCTTTAGACTTTTAGACTAAAATTTAAAAAAAGTTAAAAACAATCTTGACATTTTTCTTAAAACGTAAACGTTTTGGTTTACACGCAGTATTTCTGACTGTAAATAATGTTAAACTTTAATAGTCGATAAAATAATGCATCCTATGACAAAAAGTTCATTCAAGTTTTATTTTTGATGCAGTGTGTTGAACTTTTAAAAAAATATTTCACATTTATTCTGATACCTCTTAAGGCTGGCGTTTTATAGACATAAAATCGGGCTTTTAGTAAGACAATGATAGAACAAGTAGATCCATCCAGGAAGTGATGAAAAGTAACTTAACTAGAGCAACTACCTTTAATTTTTCGCATTGAAAAATCACGGAGAACTGTATATTTCCTATTTTATCTACCGTACGCAATTTTTTGTATGCGTCTAAAATTCAGGAAACGTAAAATAAACATACGAGGTAAAATATGATTTTTTTTTTGTACCCTGAAGAAAACTTGTATAACTAACTGGTACAGTGAAGAGATATTATTTCTAATTCACTTAGATTTTCTAAAATGCTGGACAAAAAATTGCGCATATAAACTCCTCCCTTAAGATTGATGAAATGTGAACTAATAGTTTACTATTTATTACCTATATGTAAACCAGTGTTAAAAATACTAGGATGTACTATTATTAAGAATTTCTATTCCACAGAGTTTTTGGAAATAGAATAAATGCTTTTAATAATGGTTGGTATTTCTAACAATCGAATATAACCAGATAATAACCAAAATTATTCGTTTCTCAAAACGTCATGAGAGTTTTTTTGTTAGAAATGCGATTTTTAGAATGTAGTTCTTAAGTTGAAAAAAATAATTGGCATAGGAACTTTTAATCTTCAGGGTATCAAACAATTTACGCCAACTAATTAATTTATACATTAGGTACATTTAAAATAATATTTCCAACTGAAAAGTTGAAATAAATAGCAAAATAATAACAAAGAATAATAACCAAAACGAACATTTTTTTTTGTTATAGAAGACCAGCAGAAGTTAAATCAATTTATTCTATTTCAAAAGTTCAGTGGTGTTGAATAAATGTGATTTTTTGAAACCTCAGTCTGTATCTCAAAAAGGAAATTGTTTTTCAGAATGATATCTCCTATTGACTGCTGACTACTAAAACTTGACCCTAAATAGTAAATAGTAAATTGATCTATTTGGTTTTAGGTAAAATTAAGTAGATACATTCAGTTTCCCATTCTACATTTGTGAGTCTTTTTATTTATTTAAATTATAAAAGTGTGTGGTTCCAAAAATTTCTTAAAAACTACAACTGTAAAAGGTACAGCCTCAATGTGGAAACATTTTCTTTGTTCCTATTTATTTTCTATCATCTAAATACAAAAGTTCATTATTATATCTTATACAGGGTGTTCACAAAATAGGTGCAAACTTCGAAAAATTTCACTCATTGCAGAGTGTCCTGTATTAACAGCGGAAAATATTTTGAGGGTCATAATTTTATTTACTGAAGGTATATCCATGCAGTTTCATCGATTTCACTCATACGGGGTGCTCACAATAAGACGGCCAAATTTTACATTATTTTTAATAGAGTTTCACAACGAAATAAAATTTAAATATTACTATTTTCTATTAGCCCACCATCATTTGCTCTCCTCTTATTTCTAATAACTCTCCTCAACTATTGTGGTGTCATTTGTCGACATGCTTGTCGAATTCTATTACATAAATCTTCTCTGTTCTGGGGCCTTGTTTTATACACTTTATTTTTCACAGTTCTATCAGTTATGGTACTGTAAATAGAGTTTACATAATGTTTAATTTGACTGGAAGCGTAGTGGATTTAACTCCAAGAGGTCTTAATCGCCGTCGTATGCATTCGCATGATGATATCTTAAACCATGCAACTGAGAATCCCATAGCAAGTGTACCTACTGTTTCTCAATTTAAATTTATCTCATACTAAAATTTGGATATGTCCCCGTAGAAATAAAAGAATCCCTTTCAAGCCCAGATTTCTTCACATTCTGGAATAGGGCGACAAATAAAACGGTTACAATATTGCTACTGGATTCAAGGAGAAATACTGAATGATCGTAGTTTTTTAAATAACATAATGTTTACTGACGAGGCTACATTTGCCACCAATGGCGTAGTTTCATCCCACAATTGCAGGTATTGGTCTACAGAGAACCCACACTGGGTAATTAATTGTAAGAGACAATACTCGCAAAAAATTAATGTGTTTTGTAGGATTTTATGTGATCATATAATCGGGCCTTCTCATTCAACGTTAATCTAAACGTAAAGATTTTTTTGAATTTTTTAAATAATGATTTCTGGGATTCAGTACATGCACTTCCTCGTCATATAAGACAGAACCTCTACCTTCAACTAGATAGTGCACCTGTTCATAATGCGGTAATACTACGTCATTGGTTGAATGAGAATTTCCCGAGAAAGTGAATAGCTCGCAACAGTGCGTTAGTTGAGTAGTCGTCAAGATCTCTAGACTTGACGCCTCTTGATTTCTTTTTATGGGGAACTGTGAAAAATAAAGTGTATAAAACAAGGCCCCAGAACAGAGACGATTTATGTAATCGATTTATGTTTAGACAAGCATGTCGACAAATTATTAAAAAATACCTTTAAAATATTTTCCGCTGTTAATACAGGACACTCTGCAATGAGTGAAATTTTTCGTTTGCACCTATTTTGTGAACACCCTGAAATTTTGTATTTAGGGTTTTGAGGTGTGATCAAATCGAAAATGTTATCCATTCCATATATTGGGTCGGTCGATAGCCGCACGGTTTAAGGCGTCAGTACTTAAATCGATGTGTGCTAATTCTGCCGGGTTCGCTTCCCGCGGCCGGTAGACCGTAGATTAGCTATGCTTGTATGGAGGATAGGCACCCTCTGTGCAGGTATGGTAGGGTGGAAGAATGTTGGCTTGGGTCAATGTGAGAGATTGACACCGGTTGGCATTTGATCACCCCTCTAATTAATGAGGTTTTCCAGGTTTTCCTCATTCCTGCACTGAATGGTGGTTAGGGCCTACCAACATAAGTCGTTCCTGGGCGCAAATGCGGCCTGCATAATAATAATATGCCGCCTCCTCTCCCGCACAAGTCTCCGACTTCTGGGCTAATTCTCGTGGTTAGAATGAGGGGTAGAGATATTATTATTATTATATTATTATTCCTTTCTTAAAAAAATGCCTAATATGTTTTTTGTTTTTTTAAGGTCTTTTCTTAATAATAGTAGGCCGTGTAAAAGGTCACATGTCAAAAAGTAGGCCTTTTTGAGTACTATCACATAAAAAAAGGAATTTTGAAAATCGGCCAACGCCATCCTAAATACGGAGGTGTACCGACTTAAGTGAAACACATTGTATGTACAAAAAATAAAGCACATTTCATTTATGATTTAATAAATTATTTATCTATATTTATAAAAGGGTATTTAACTTACCTAGATATAAGATTTAACATCATTGTTGGGGTCCTGGCGCCTTTACCAATATATAGGAAAAAATTCTAAAGAATTCTTTTTTAATTAAACTCGCAAAACTTTCAATTTATTTTATTAGATATTAAAAAAGTGAACATTTTAACTGCAGACATTAACTAATTAACTAAACTATTAAACTACCACTAAAGAAAATATATATTCTTTCATTGCAGAATTAAGATTTGCGATTTTTTTAAAATCTATGTTTAGCTCTTGTGTTTTTATTTTATTTGAAGAATATTAAGCTAATTCATATACATTCAAAAAAATTCATGTCGATGAAATTTCATTTGACAGGATTTTTTCTAACATTTTTTGAACTTATTTTAATTACCTTTAAAATAGAGTAAAAAAACAAGTAAAAAGTAATAATAAAATATATATCTTTAAAATATAAATTTAGCAAAAAGAGCAAATATTGGTTTGGTAAAAAAAAACAAATCACATTAATCTAGTCATATTCAATACTTCTAATATTTCAGTTTCAAAATTTAATTTTTTCTAAGTTGTGTATGTTTATATGTTCAATATACATATACCTATTCAATTAATATTCCATTTGCAAGGAAGCCATTTGAAAAAGCAATCCCAAAATAAAATGTCGAAATGGTTAAGATCTTACCTATCGTGGCTATTTTTGCGTGTTGGTCTTTGTCAAAGATGATGTTAGAACAACAAGGATAGAAAATATTTCTTTGATAGATTGTATTATTTAATGATTTCAAAATGTCTGTCACAATAGTTGGACGTGACTAGAATTATGAGGATGGGTATGGGAAGATGGGCGTTGGATCCGTTTGACCCGAAATCAACATAATATCGTTTGTCTGGCGCTAGGGATGTGTGAAAAGACATTTTTCTGCCATTACTACCTGTCATAGTAGTGGGATGTGGGTCCATTGTAGGGGGTATATAGGACAGTAAATAGTGAGGTGGATCCGTTTTCGTATAAAATCTACTGAATTTTGTTTGTCTGGACAGAAGCTATAAAAGTCATGCACTTTTTTACATTTTTCCAATTGGGCCGAAAACCGCGCTTAATGAACCTCCTCCTTTATATTTGGCTCTGGCTTTGGCTCACAATAATAAAGAGAAGTACATATTTAAATACTTACATGTTCCTCTCTGAGATGTACAACTGTTTAAGCATGGAGTACTTAAAGAGTAGAACAGTAGAAGAATACTTTAGGTGCAGTTCCCAGACAACTGGAAAGCATCTAATGGTTAAGGATGAAGTTTTCTTAACAACAATGGATGGAGTACTATTGAAAAGCTTTAGAAATGTTGCTATCAAAATTTTGTGGGAAATTATAATAGCGGCTATTACGAAAAGAATAAATAAAATGGTTGACAATTTCAAAATATAAATGTTGACGAGTTTGAATTTGCAACGAAGAGCAAGAAGGTTTCATCAGGATATGAAAGAAATAGTGCACTGGTATCAAAGTAGATAGGATATATGACAGAAAATACGACGGCAGATTACTACTAAATATTAAGAAAAATGTATCTTATAACAGGAAAAAAGAGAAAGGAAATATTCTGCATTGATATATCGAAAGCAATACAAAAGAAAAAAACTATAACTCCTTCACACTGCATTCTGATGGACTCCAGAACCTCATCTAAAGGGAAACCCAGTAATTTGTAGCAAAATTTGGGGTTTCAGAGTATATGAAGACTGCAGGATGTTGTGTTAGCATGTTCAGAATAAGCTTGCGGTCTGCGGCATTGGGTAAGTGGATCGTATTGTGTGCAGTGTTGGGTTAGGATTAGGAATTTGAGTTCATGACCTACTAATAAGCCCGCTTCATTCAACTGTTTACTGTTCAGGGTGTGTAGAGCTCGCTTTGAATATCCAAAATTTGCGATGAGCTCCACGGATGCAGAATTTTGACTGATTTTAAATTTTAGGGATTTACGT